TTTCTTTTGGGGAAGTAGAGGAGGTCCATTGGGACTTTATGTGGTTTACAATGTTTCAAACATGTTTAGAGAGGGCAAAAAGAGCTTTGAGGAGGATGCAGAAGTCCTTGAGAAGGTTCTTGGGATTCTTTCCACACATCTCCTCAAATCTCAGGGACATTTGAGAAATCTTGGATGAGGTTCTTTGAGAATTTCTGAGGTTACCAATGTTCTAAATGTCTTTAGAGATGTCCGAAGGTGCTTGGAAAAGGATGCAGAAGTCCTTAAAGGCACTATGTGTAACAATTTCAGTTGTTCTTTGAGACAAATTTTGCAGTCAAAAGTGTGTCTTAGCACATGTGTATTTACCTCCATCAGCGTATCTAAGTATGTCTGTAAGCTCCGAAATTCTCATTTACATATACATTGCGACCGGTGTCTCATTATGTACATGCGCCATCTTGAAAATACAGGTGCGTACAGGGACATACTTGAGAAATACGGAATCGCCTTTCGTGTTTTGTATCGGTTTCCGGTTTCCGCCTGTAGGTAGAGTGACGAAAAGCAGCAGCAAGCAGGCTAGTCACAAGTGCCGGTGCATTTGAAAAAAGGCAAAAAGGCAACGTGACCGGCGATTTCAAAAAACGAGGGTCAACATCGGGGTAGCCTTTCCCAGGTGGAGAGAGCTGCTGAAGGAGAATCACAGCTAACAGCGGCTAACAGCTGTTAGCGACCAGCGCTGCTAACAGCTGTTAGCGACGCTGTTAGTGCTGTTAGCGGCGCAGTGTTGCGAGGAGAGGGATGAGGTGTGTGAGGTTGAGCCACTTGTCAGTTGTCAAAGGACAAGACGTGATTGGTTTGTTTCGATTTACATCCGCCCCAACAGTCCTACGTTGTAAACACAGCCAGCATGGTGAGGAGGGGGTTTGTCAACTCGCGTGGCGTGAGTCTGTGTAGGAGCCTGAATGAATACTCCATGTAGTATCGGATGACATGGTTTCATCAGTGTTATCATAGCTTTTTGGTACACAGCGGCTACAGTTGTTAGAGTGCGCCATCTGTTTGAATGCAACATATGATTTCAACACTAGATGGGAGAAATTCCTACACAGTGCCTGTTTAAGGAGGTCCTTGGGGACTTTTTGAAGATAACAGTGTCCCAAAATTCTTTAGAGAGATCAAAAGTAGCTTTAAAGGGATGCAGAAGTCCTTGAGAAGGTTCTTGGGGACTTTTTGGGGTTCCCAATGTTCCAAACATCTTTCCACACATCTCCTCAAAACCTTGGATGAGGTTTTGGAAACGTGAGGAGGTTCTTGGAGAATTTTTGAGGTTACCAATGTTCTAAATGTCTTTAGAGATGTCAGAAGGAGGTTCCTGGGGACTTTTTTGAAGTTAACATTACCAACATCTTCAGAGAGGTTAAAAGAGCTTTGGGGGGAATGCAGAAGTCTTGGAAGAGGTTCTTGGGACTCTTTGAGGTAAACAATGTCCCAAACATCTAAAGAGAGGTTCAAAGGAGCTTTGAGGAGGATGGAGAATGAGAGGAGATTTTCAGGATCCATGAAGAACATCTGGCTCATTCTGGATCGGTGCCTTGATTGGTTGTTTAAAGGAAGTTGAGGAAGCAGAATGGTCCCAGAAGGTGGTGTCGGTGTTGAGGGATGAAGATGGATGGTGTTTGTAGATTTGGCGGCAGTGGATCTGTACGAGGCTCGGCTCAGAGCGAGGAGGGAAAATAGATTTGGATAGAGGGAGAAAGATGGATGGGAGACAGAGAGAGAGGGAAGGGGGGAAGGGGAGAAGAGGAAGGAGGAGGAGGGATGATGATGATGAGGGAGAGAGGCAGACATGACTGGGGGAGAGGAGAGAGAGAGAGAGAGTCGGGGTGATAGAGAGAGTAATCGAGGTTGGAGTGTATAACAGAGCTGTTCGTCGCTCGCTGCTCAGTATCACAGCAGCCGGCTCTCTCTCTCACACACACACACACTCACACACACTCACACACACACATCTCGGTTTCTAGATATCGAAGCAGCAAAACCTGAAGACGACACACACACACACACACACACACTCAGCGATACATGTGGATTTATCTCGGCGTGTGTGAAGACTGAAGTATGGACGATGTTGCCGCCGGGTTAGTATGCTCTCTCACTGTGTGTGTGTGTGTGTTGTGGTCACGGCTTCGGCAAGAACAGCTGAGTTATAAGACGGCTGCATTTGTGTGTGTGTGTGTGTGTGTTCCTGTCAGTACATTGAGTCCAGGTAGAGGTCACCTTTAACCTGTCTGTGTGTCTGTCTGCTCGTCTCACCACACACACACAAACAGGTGGGTCCACACTTGTACACATCATGGTTCTGCTGCATTGTTTGTGTGTGTGTAAGTGTGTGTGTGCAGTGAGACAGCAAACAGCGTGTCTGGATTCATTCAGCTGTGCAGGTCAAGGTGTTTTCTGTGTGTGTGTGTGTGTGTGTGTGTGTGTGGTGATGACTAGCACAGATAGACTTGGCGGGCTCCCCAGGTGACGCTGCATCACTCATTCACACACAAACAGTGACACACACACACACACATGTTGTGTATCTATCAGTGTTTTTGTTTGTCGAGTTTAAAGTCAGATATTCTTTATTTGCATGAACAGAAATACCAGCTGCACTCATCATCACACAAACAGAGACGATCAGCGTCAGAGGAACAAATATTTAATGTGAGGATGTTTTAAAATGTAACTGGAGGAGCAGCTTAACCAGATCAGATCCCTCGTCTGCTCCGATGGAAAGAACTTTTCTAGCATTTCTAGATCTATGATTACTGTCGTCTGACTCCACCCAAAAACACAGACTTATTTAATCAGACGTCTATAAGCCAGTCACAGTGTTCCACATCATCTAAAGCGGACTGCAGCGGAGCCACGCCCCCCTTTTAAACAAGCATGGTCGACTGTGAGGCGAGGAGGAAGAGTGAGGCTCCTTTCAGCTTATAAATCATGTTACGTCATGTTACTGATACATGTCATAAAATCATATGAAACATTCACAGCTATTATTCAGGATTGAAAAATTAAATATAGATTAAACAGGGAAATAAAGTTCTGATTTAATGTTCTCATGATACAATCAGTTTATAATGCATCTTAGAGATGATGTCTGCAGAATATTCGTCTCAGGAAGTTTTCGAGAAACACTTAATATTGAGGATATTTTGAGAAGTGATGACGAATACAATACAAAATATATATGCAGTGTGTTTTACAACATCACTTTATTCACTGATATGAGTTAATTATTCATTAAAAATGTTGTTTTTGTTGAAAAAAAGTCTGTTAGATGATTTATTATTGTCATTTCTGTGTTCAGAATCTTCGTCCATTTGTGTATTTTCCCACAATTTTTTTATTAAAAGTTTCCAAAAGGAGCAGATAGAAAACACAGTAATATTTGGACAGTCCAATAGTGACACAACAAAAGAGTAAGCAGCAAGTAAAATAAGAAAAATACAAAACCAAGACAGGACGAAGACGAGACAAATACAGCAAACCAAATTAGTCCCCAGAACCAGACAAAGACCAAAACAACATTGTAATAAAATATAAAAATATAGAAATATGTGGAAATATGTATAATTAAGTATCCTAATCACCAAACTTTTTTTTGCTAATTTGATGCGCAACAACCTCTGCTCAACCCAGCTTAGTCCTGGCAAGGTGCTGTAAACATCAGCAAGTCTAAACCGATAGAAAAGATTTCTACCCACTTAGCAAACATCTTGGGTCCTGAACGCTCTGATGAAGGTTCAACGAACTGAAAGCTCAACAATAAAGTCAAACACTGCACAGATGTACGTGTCCTGAAATCTTTTCTACCAGGCTACAGCAACACTAAACCCCTGAGCTTGCCTG